AAGAGAGAGGAAGTATCGGGCAGAGTAGCCCCTGAGGATGACCAGGAAGTGTAGGAGGGGTGTCTGAGTTCCCTGTCCCGGGCTGCTGCCGCGGTCAGAAACTCACTCACCCCAGTGATGTCTCTCCTGGTGCCTGGACCGGAACTCGAGTTGTATAATTGTTAATGTTTCTTTTTCACTGTGGATGCACTTACATGTTTTTGTTGTTGTTTAACTTCAGAGTGGGCTATGCGACTTAACACCAGAGGGACAATGTTTCAGTTAAAAATGTCAAATGAGTCACAACTGGTAAGAGTCACAAGAGATATTTCATATTTTCTTTATTGAAATATACTTGGTAATTTTATGTAAATTTCATCAAAATCCTTCAAAAGAAAGAAGTATTAGAGAGAAATAGCCTGTATTCATAGAGTCTAGAAAGATGTTCTAATCCTAGTTTGAAACTTGAGTTCCCATAAACACATATTCCTACTTATAGATATTGGGCTTTTAAAACAGTTTCATGAAAACACAGGAAACCTTTCAGAATTAGAGTAGATGGCACACGATCCTTGCAATAGGATTTTTAAATTTACATTAAGTGACATATGTGTAATTATGGGAAACATCATCATCATGTTCTTATCTTACAGTAATAAATTTGAAAAAGTTTTAATATCTTATTTCCTTTTAATCAACAGTCAAATAGCTACAATGGAAAGAAGCTCTGTGACTTCAAGCCACCTGGAGAAATCATCAAAGAGCCTTCATGTAGTCCGGCACACATAGGTATTGAAAACAGAGGAAACATTTATGATTGTGTTCAGCATGGACAAGCCTTTCCTGTGCACCCTGAGGAAGCCTCTTCTGCAGACAAAGGTCCTGAGTTAAGCCAGTGTGGAAAAGACACCAGTCTGACTACGAGTGCTGCTTACCAGACAACATGCAAACCAGCCAAAGTCCTCAAATCTAGTGAATTTCATCAAGCCCTTAAGGCATGTGAAGACAGACTCTTTAAATGGGCACAGTGTGGTGATGCTTTTAACCCACCTATGAGCCATGCTGGGAATGGGCAAACATGCACTGGAAAAAAACCCTATGAATGTAAGCAGTGTGGGAAAAGTTTTAAATATTCTGCCAACCTTAATATTCATATGCGTACCCACACCGGTGAAAAACCTTATGAATGTAAGGAGTGTGGAAAAGCCTTTTCTAGGTGTTACCCACTAACTCAACACTTAAAAACTCACACTGAAGAGAAACCCTTTGAATGTAAGGTTTGTGGAAAATGCTTTAGAAATGCCTCATGCCTTAATGATCACTTTCGGGTTCACACTGGAATAAAGCCCTATAAATGTAAGGACTGTGGCAAAGCCTTCACAGGGCGCTCTGGCCTTAGTAAACATTTACCAACACACACTGGCGAGAAGCCTTATGAGTGTAAGGAATGTGGGAAAGCCTTCACGTCAACCTCAGGCCTTATTAAACATATGAAAAGTCACATGGGGGAGAGACCCTTTGAGTGTGACCATTGCGGCAAAGCTTTTGCTTCTTCCTCAACCCTTATTACACACTTGAGAACACACACTGGAGAGAAGCCCTTTGAGTGTAAAGTTTGTGGGAAAGCGTTTACATGTTCCTCTTACCTTCGCATTCACATGCGGACTCACACTGGAGAGAAGCCCTATGTATGTAAAGAATGTGGCAGAGCCTTCACTGAGCGCACAAGCCTTACCAAGCATTTACGAACACACACTGGAGAAAATCCCTTTGAGTGCAATGTGTGCGGAAAAGCATTTGCATGTTCTTCCTACCTTCATAATCACATGCGAACTCATACTGGAGAGAAACCTTATATGTGTAAGGAATGTGGGAAAGCCTTCGCTGTTTCTTCACATCTAAGTAAACATGTAAGGATCCACACAGGAGAGAAACCCCATAAGTGTGAGGAATGTGGGAAAGCATTCACTGTGCGTTCTGGTCTCACAAAACATATACGAACTCACACTGGAGAGAAGCCCTATAACTGTAAAGAATGTGGGAAAGCCTTTACTACATCTTCAGGCCTCCTCGAACATATAAGAACTCACACAGGAGAGAAACCGTATGAATGTGACCAGTGTGGGAAGGCCTTTGCTTCTTCCTCCTATCTTATTGCACACCTGAGAATTCAAACTGGAGAGAAGCCCTTTGAGTGTAATGTGTGTGGGAAAGCATTTACATGTTCCTCCTACCTTCAGATTCACATGCGAACGCACACTGGAGAGAAGCCCTATGGATGTAAAGAGTGTGGGAAAGCTTTTGCTGTTTACTCACATCTCAGTAAACATGTACGAGTTCACAGTGGAGGGAAGGTCTATAAATGTAAAGGTTACGGAATAGCTTTCAGTAGTTCTCATCTTACAGAACACATAAAAACCCTAGAGATAAATTCTTTGATTGGAAGGAATGGAGAGACTGCTTTAGGAAGTTCTGTTACGTTAGGAGTGCATTCAAATTCACGGTGGAAAGAAAGTTTATCAGTATAAACCATTTGTAAAGTGATTATATAATATTTGACTTCAAAGATGTGAAACAATTGAAGTTGCATAGATGCCTCATTAACTGAAAAGAGTGGGACGTCATCAGAATGCTCAAAATCCAGTTCACATGAGCCCACTTTGAAGCTATACAATGTCAGAAAGATGGAAAGCCTTCACTGTTTCATAGATTTTTTTTTTTTATAAGTATGGGAGAGAAACTCTTGATACAATGTGAAAAATTGTATTTCTGCTCAGTGCTTTGATTACCTACAGTGCTACAGTGGAGGACTTTGGGAAAGTAAGAAATGTTAGAAAGTAATTATTTACATTAGTTATCAACATTCAGTAAGCGTGAAGTGATTCACATTTGGGTAAATGTGTGTATAGAATATGGAAATTGTTTCTATGTCTTAAGACCTTGTATACTAGCAGAAACTTGGCTTTCTTGATAGTTTTATAAATTTGTTTTGATCATTTTTTGCATTTTCAATACTTGAGAGATATTTTAATATTTTTCACTTAATGACTTCCCAGTCTTAATATTGATTCAAGATGTACAAAATTCTGTGGAATATATATATATGAAGCAATTATCAGAATAATTAAAATGTGATATAGTAATTTTGGTATTATGAAGCACTTTTTACTGCCTTAGAAAATCCAGGTGGAGAACATTGTTAATTATATTCATCAACTGCACTCTTAAGTTACCTTTCTTGTAACTGAAAGTATATAACCTTTAACAATAACTCATAAACATTAACTCTTAGCTCTTGGTAACCACAACTACATTTTTCTTCTGTTTGACTATATCCCCCTCTTTTAAAGACAGGGTCTCACTATGTAGTTCTGACTGTTCTGGAACTCACTATGTAAACCAGCCTGGCTTTGAACTCACAGAGATCATCTCTCTCCTAAGTACTAGGTTTAAATGCATACACCACTTCTCCCAGCTATACTCCATATTTGAATATGGATAATGTATTTTTAGTTTTTGTGCCTGGTTTATTTTCATAACAAAATGTCTTTAGTTTTATCCCTGTTGTCTTGCATGAAAAATTTTTTTAAAAAGAGGGTAGACAGTCTACTTTTTATGCACACTCAAAATTTTTGTATGTATGTATGTCTATATATATGTGTGATGTGTGTATGCATCTCTATGAATGTAGGCTCTACAATGTGCATGTAGAGATGAGGAAAACTTTGGATTTCATACTTGATTTCCACCTTAAGATAGAGTCAATTTCTCATCTCCCCAGCCCCTATGATTTGTGTAAATCCCCTTTCTTTACACAAAGGAACATTTAGGTCATTTCCATACTGTATTGTTGGAAACAAATTGAACTGCTACATTGAGCATAGATTACAGATATCTCTGTAAGCAAGCATTCCTTGAGTGTATGCCCATAATTAGTTTGTTGGATTATTTAGTTGGTGTATATATAGTTTTATGAGGAGATTCAATACCATTTTCCAGATAGTTCTACCAGTTTTTATTCTATTCAAAATGATAATATATATAAGCATTTTTATCTTTATTATTTAGATGCCTTTTATTTCTCTTAATTGGCTCAACTTGCAGAATTATGATGGATATAAGTTCCAAGCAGGGATACTGTTGTTCTTGATTTTAAAGAAAAAGCTTTGGAGGTTTCACTGAGTATGTTGATTGCCACTGACTTTTCATACATATATAGTCTCTGATAAATTTGTGTACATCCTCTATATATTAAATTTGTTGAGAGTATCATGAAAGAGTATTGACTTTAAAGTGCTGTTTATTTTGTAACTTTCTGTATGGTGATTTACTTATCCTGTTATGTGTGACACTTGATTATTATATATAATATATAAATGTTGCATTATAGGTGTGAATCAAAACCTTGTATATAGGTACTTTAAATGGAATGATTAAACTCATCTGTCAAAAGACAGACAGACTGAAAGATGACTTACTAGTTAAAGGCACTTAGCATCAAGCCTGACAATTTGAGTTTTGATTCCCATAAAACACAAAATAGAGGGCTGGAGAGATGGCTCAGAGGTTAAGAGCATTGCCTGCTCTTCCAGAGGTCCTGAGTTCAATTCCCAGCAACCACATGGTGGCTCACAACCATCTGTAATGGGGTCTGGTGCCCTCTTCTGGCCTGCTGGCATACTCACAGACAGAATATTGTATACATAATAAATAAATATTTAAAAAAAAACACAAAATAGAAAGAAAGAACTGACTCCTGCAGGTTATCCTCTGTCCTCTACATTTGTGACACATGAGCATACAAATATACAAAATAAATAAATGTAAAAATAAAAGACATAAGTCCACACAAACCTGCAAGCAGGTGAGATACCTGCCTCCAGGCTGCACCCCCAGCACTGCTACCCACCGGAGGTTTACTCTGCTGCCCAACAAGAATCTGAGCATGCTCCCTGTTGCCAACACTTCCCCACAACCCAGCAGACTACACAGGCACAGGCACAAACCACACCAGTTGGAAAAACAGCAGACTACATAGACATAGGTGCAAACCACAACGGTTGGAAGAACCGGCACAGGCAAAACCCACATCAATTGGAAAAAAAGATGTGTAAACACCGGTGTAAGAATACATTCAACACAGTTGTATGGTTGGGGCAGACTGAGAGGCCACTGGCCGTGGCACCAGGATTTATCTCTACAGCATGTACTGGCTTTTGGGGATCCTATTCTCTTTGGATGTATACCTTGCTCAGCTTAGATGTAGTAGGGAGGGCCTTGAACTTTCCACAAAGCAATGTGCCTTACCTGCTCTTAGGATTAGATGGAGGTCGGGTGGGAGGGTGTGTGGAGGGAATGGAAGGAGGAGAAGGAGTGGGAATTTGGATTGGTATTTTTTTTTTTTAAAAATCTAATAAAAAAGAGAATACATTCAACAATCAAAAGAGCAAGCAATATGGTGTTACCAGAACCCGATGATCCTCTAACAGCAAAACCTGAACATTGTAATGCAGCTGAAACACCAGAAAACAAACTTAAAAATTAATTTATGAAGATATTAGCTCTTAAAGAGGAAATGAAAAAATCCCTTAAAGAAGTTGAGAAAAAAAAGCAAAAATGAAAGAAATCAATAAATTTCTTAAAGCCTAGAAAAAAAAAACAGGTGAAGGAAAGCAGTTTAAGACTTGAAAACTGAAGTAGAAACAATAAAACACAAGTTGAGGGAATTCTGGAAATGGAAAATCTGGGAAAGTGTACAGGAACTAGAGAGAGAAGCATCACCAACAGAACACAGGAAGAAATAGGAGAATCTTAGGTATTGAAGATAGGATAGAGAAAGTAGATTCATCAGTCAAAGAAAATGTTAAATCCAATAAATTCCTAACACAAAACATCCAGGAATTGTGGGACACCATGAAAAGACAAAACTTAAGAATAATAGGGATAGAAGGGGAAGAATCCCAGGTCAAAGGCACAAAACCATATTCAACAAAGAAGTTCAACATATTCAACAAAGTAGAAGAAAACCTTTTCAACCTAAAGAAGGACATGCTATAAAGGTACAAGAAGCTTACAGGACACCAAATAGGTTGGACTAAAGAAAAAGTCCCCTTGCCACATAATAAAGCATACAGAATAAATAATTTTAAGAGCTGCAAAGGAAAAAGGTCAAGTAACATATAAAATCAGACTTATCAGAATTGTACCTGACTTCTCAATGGAGACTCTAAAAGCCAGAAGATCCTAGACTTCACAGACACCAAGTGACTGTGGATACCAACCCAGACTACTATACCCAGCAACACAGACATTGAAAACAAGATATTTCATGACAAAACCAGATTTAAATAATAACTTCATAAATCCAGCACTATAGAAAGAAATAGATGGAAAATCCCAACCCAAGTTACATCCATGAAAACACAGATAATAGATATTTTTACAACAGCAAAACCCAAAGAAGGGAAATACATTACCACCACCAAAACCAAAAAAATAATAGAAATTAACAATCATTAGTCAATAACATCTCTCATAAATATCAATGGACTCAATTCACCAATATACAGACAGCCTAATAGAATGGATATGAAAACAGAATCCAGTTTGTTGCTCTGATGAGGGTCCCTGTCTCTATCTCTATCTGTCACTGGACGAAGATTCTATGGTGATATTAGAGATAATCATCAGTGTGATAGTGGGGCTAGGACAGTAGCCCAAGGACTTAGCTGGGGACATCCCGTGGACACCTGGGATCCCCTCTAGAGCCAAGTCTCTTGCCAACTCTAAAATGGCTCCCTTAATATAGATATCTTCTTCCCTGCTGCTATATCCGCCCTTTCTCCATCTCCACCCTCCCATTCTTGTAACATGAGGGCTGGCTTGATGGGGTTTCTGTCCCGCCCAGTACCCCACAGCCCACAAGCCCCAAAGAAAATCACACAGAGATCTCCATAAGTTATAAAACGGATAGGCCCATTAGCTCAGTCTTCTTATTCGCTCTTGTAGCTTATATTAACTCATTATTCTTATCTATGTTAGCCACATGGCTCTCGATACCTTTCAGTCAGACAGGTTACATCTTGCTTCTCAGTGATCTGGGCTGGAATGAAAGGAATGGGCTTCCTCCTTCCTAGAATTCTCCTGTTCTCTTTTTTTTCCACCTCTACTTCCTGTCTGGTTTTCCTGCCTATACTTCCTGCCTGGCCAATCAGCGTTTATTTAAAACATGATTGACAGAATACAGACAGTTCTCCCACACCACGTTCCCACAAGCTCTCCCTAGTCTTTCCCTTCTCCCTTCCCTCTCCCCCTCTTCCCTTCCCCTACCTCCACCCCCATGCTCCCAACTTTTGCACAACAATCTTGTTTGCTTTCAGTTTCCAGGAGGATATATATATGTTTTTCTTTGGGTTTACCTTGTTATTTGGCTTTTCTAGGCTTGTAAACTGAGCTCCCAAGGTCCAGTTGAAGGACAGAAGGAGGGAGAAGACAAGCAAGGAAGTCAGGACCACGTGAGGGGTTGTTCTACCCACTGAGACAGTGTGCCTGTTCTAAAGGGAGCTCACCAAATCCAGTTGGATCGAGACTGAATGAGCATGTGATCAAACCGGACTCTTTGATTGTGGCTGACACTGGGGGCTGACTGTGAAGCCATTGATAAAGGCACTGGGACTTGTTTTTACTGCATGCACTGGCTTTTTGGGACCCTAGTCTATTTGGATGCACAGCTTCCTAGGCCTGGATGTAGTGGGGAGGGCCTTGGACTTCCCATAGGGCATGGTTCCCTGCCATCTTTCAAGCAAGGAGGGGGAGGGAAGAAAGTGAGTGGGGGAGCGGGAGAGGAATGGTAAGGAGGGGAGGAAGTATAAATTTTTGAATGGAAAAATAAAAAAAAAGAAAAGAAAACAGAATCCATCCTTCTTACATCGTTGCTGCATACAAGAAACACACCTTGACTGAGAAGATCCATCCAGAGTGGTGAGTGTGTGGCTGCCCGGCTGGCTGGTCCCGGGAACTGGATACAGGCCCCCTCTAATTCCCTAAATGTTTCTGGCCATCCAGCAGGGCATCTCCCCGGCTACTGGCTTCCTTTTTTTTACCCCATCCCAAAGGAGTGCCCCCAAGCACTCCTTTCCATCTGCATAGTCCTTGGATCCCTCAACTCTGCCCGCTTTGGAGCTGAGGGTTTAGGGACCCAGGGGTGAGTGCTTCTGATGCAGGGGCTTCTTTGTTCCACACCACCCTGACCCCCCAAGTCTGCCCTTTTGTCTGCAAGGTCCTTTGCCCAGCAAGAGACCCTGCTCTCTTATACTGAGGAGATCCATCTGGAGTGGTGAGTGTGTTGAACAGAGTACAGGCCTCTCCAATTCCCTAAATGTTTTTGGCTATCCAGCGGGGTGTCTCCCTGACTACCAGCTTTCTTTATTTACCCCATCCCATCTTGTCCCCAAGCACTCCTTTTCATCTGCGGGGTCCTTAGATCCACCAGCACAACCTGCTTCAGGGCAGAGGGGAGCTGAGAGCCAGCTCCAGTGCTGAGGGGACCTAGAGAGGGCAGACCAAGAAAAACCCCCAAGCACACAGTAAGCCACAGCAAAGATTGGACCAAGATACCAAGACTCTCCTGGCCACATTTGAAGGAAAAGACAGGCAGGGGCCAATGCAAGAATTCCTTCAACAACCTGAAAAGCAACATCAGCAAACATGCAACAGGAAGATTTGAACACCCTAACCCCAAAGAAGAAAAAAATGACTTTAAACATAACCTTATGAAGATGATCAAGACCCTTAAACAGGAAGTGAAAAACTCCCTTAAAGAAATGGAAGAGAAGACAAACAAAAAGTTAGAAGAAATTAATAAATCCCTCAAAGATACACAAGAAAACCAAGAAAAAGCAATAAAACAGGTAAAGGAAACAGTTCAAAAGTTGAAAATTGAAATGGAGGTAATGAAGAAAACACAGAGCGAAGGAAGGTTGGAGATGGAAAATCTGGGTAAACGAACAGGAACTACGGACACAAGTATAAGCAACAGAATACAAGAGATAGAAGAAAGAATCTCAGGTGCTGAGGATATAATAGAGGAAATAGACTCATTGATCAAAGAACAGCAAATTCAACAAATTCTTAACACAAAACATCCAGAAAATCTGGGACGCCATAAAAGACCAAACCTAAGAATAATAGGGGTAGAAGAAGAAGAATTCCAGCTCAAAGGCACAGAAAATATATTCAACAAAATTATAGAGGAAAACTTTCACAACCTAAAGAAGGATATTCCTATGAAGGTAAAAGAAGCTTACAGAACATCAAATAGATTGGATTAAAAAAATTCCTTTGCCATATAATAATGAAAACACAAAACATACAGAATAAAGAAAGAGTACTGAGAACTGCAAAAGAAAAAGTAACATATAAAGGTAAACCTATCAGAATTACACCTGACTTCTCTATGGAGACCATGAAAACCAGAAGATCTTGGATAGATGTGCTACAGACACTAAGAGACCATGAATGCAAGCCCAGACTACTATACCAGCAAAGCTTTCTCTCACCATCAATGGAGAAAACAAGATATTCCATGACAAAAACAGATTTAAATAATATGTATCTATAAACCCAGACTTACAGAAAGTACTAGTAGGAAAACCTCAACCCAAGGAAGCTAACAACACCCACAATAGCACAGACATCTGACAACCCTCCACCAACACAACTCAAAGAAGAGAAACACACAAACACTACCACAAAAAAAATAACTGGAGTTAACAACCACTGGTCATTATTATTGCTTAATATCAATGGACTCAATTCACCTATAAAAAGGCACAGGTTAAGAGAATGGATATGAAAACAGGACCCAACATTCTGCTGTTTATAAGAAACACACCTCAACCTCAAAGAGAGACACTACCTCAGAGTAAAGGGTTGGGAAAAGGTTTTCCAAGCAAACGGACCTAAGAAACAAGCAGGGGTGGTTATCCTAATATCTAAAAAAATTGGTTTCAAACTAAAATCAATCAGAAGATGTGGAGAAGACACTTTATACTCATAACAGGAACAATTCATCAAGATGAATTTTCAATCCTGAATATCTATGCCCCTAATATAAAAGCACCCACATATGTAAAACAAACTTTACTAGAACTCAAATCACATATCAAATCCCACACACTAATAGTAGAAGATTTCAACACTCCTCTCTCACTCATGGACAGGTAAACCAGACAGATACTTAACACAGAAA